GGGTGCGGCCCTGCGCGTGCGAAGCCCCGGGCTGTCGGATCATCTTGGTGATCGCGACGCACCAAACCGCGCGGCGCCGCCTTGGATGGTACGATCAATACACCGATGCCCGGCGGCTGACCCTGGCCCTCCTCCCCCGTCCGCGGGCACCGCCTCAAAACCTCGTGAATACCATACTCCCGCCTCCCCATAACATCATGCACTCCCTCCCCCACCCCGCACCCGCCGTCTGGGCCCGACCCCATGTGCCCCCAGGGCCGCGTGCCGCCTCAACCACAGCTGCCGCCCCAACGCCGCGTTCCACCTCCTCCCTGGAGGCAAGATCTCGCTGCGGCTGACGCGCGACGCCGGCTGCGGGACGGAGATTTCGATCTGCTACCTCGACACGCTTTCGCTGGCGCCCGAGGAGCGACGGCGGCAGCTGCGCGGCAGGCGCGCGGGGCGGGGCGGGGCGGGGCCGGCCCGCAGCGGCGCCTCGCTTGTTGAGGGGCCTGCCTGCGGGAACGGGCTGGGCCAGCGGGCCCGGTAGCGGCGCCCTCGCGGGTGACGCGCCCTGGTCTTCGCGCCACCCGCCGAAGTGGCGCCTCGACACGGCGCGACCACAGCCACAGGGGCGACACGCGTGCCTTTCGAGCCCGGAGGTACCTATCCTAAACTCCGCTACGTCCCTGCCTGTTTGAAACTCAAATCTGTCAGGTACGGCTTTGACTGCGGCTGCGCGCGCTGCGAGGACGATGCCCGCCGCGCGCGCCACGCCGCGCGGCGCGCCAAGCAGGAGCCGACGCCGGCGGCCCCGGCGACAGCGGCGGCGGCGGCGGCGGCGGCGGTGGCGCGGGCTGAGCGACTGTTCCTGGGTCAGGTGCGCTGCGCCCTGCGCGCACAGGCTGGTCCGCGTGGGCGCTAGCCAACTCGCCTGACATGGAGCGGGGCGGTGGAAGGCCCTTCCGTGCAGCGTTGATGCATGCACGGGCACCCAACCAGCCAGCCTTCTCAATGGCAGTCATTTGCTCATCTGCCCACCCGCCTGCTCTTTCAACACGCACACACACGCTCACATGCACGCGCGCACATGCAAAGACACACACACACACACACACACACGCACACGCACACGCACGCACGCTTGCGCCACAAGGACGACGCCAGGGGGTGTATCGAAGCGCTGGAGCACGGCCTGCTGCCCGCCATCCTGTCAGTCAGCAGCCGGCAGGCGGCCCCAGCCCTGCGGCTGGCGACGCCGGCGGCGCTGGAGGGCTGCGCGCTGCTGGTCAGCGCCTACAGCGTGCTGGCTGCCCGGCAGGAGGAGGAGCACCAGCAGCAGCAGCAGCAGCAGCAGCAGCAGCAGCAGCAGCAGCAGCAGCAGCAGCAGCAGCAGCAGCAGCAGCAGCAGGAGCAGCAGCCACGGCAGCAGGAGCCAGACGCTGGCGGCCCGCTGCTACGCAAGGCCGCCGCGGCGGCGCTGCTGCTGGCGCTCACGGCGGAGCAGCTCGTGTACGACGGTGAGACGTCTGTGCTGCGCCACGCGGGCAGCTTCTGGCTGCAGCTGTCGCAGCTCTGCGCACGCCTGCTGGCGGGCGGCCTCGGCAGCAGCGGCGGCGAGGGCGGCGGCGGGGGAAGGGTCGGCGAAGAGGTCGCGGGGCACGCGGGGCGGCGGCGGCCGCGGGGGGCGGCCGAGGAGGACGGGGGGCCGTGGCCGGCGGGGCTGCCGTCGGGGCACCCCGGGCTGGCAGGCAGCATGCGGGCGCTGTGGGCCGCGCTCGGCGGGGCGCTGCTCGCGCGGCCGGGCATGGGGGAAGGCAACGGCGCCGCTGCCGCTGCTCCTGTCCCTGCTGCAGCTGCTGCTGCTGCTGCTGCTGCTGCTGCTGCTGCTGCTGCTCCTGCTGCTGGAGAGAGTTGTCATGCAGACGGGGTGCTCGATGTGTGGCATGGTCTGGTGTTTCAGCAGGGCCTGTCCTGGCTACACGCCTGGGGAGACGCCGACGCCGTTGGCGCCGCGCCCGAGCCGCCCCTGGCAGCAACAGCGCTCGAGTCTGCATGCGCACACGCAGCGGCCCGCGCGCGCGCACTGCTGGGGCACCACTACGGCCCGCTGCACGCGGCGGTAGAGGCGGCCGCGTTCGCGCCTTTCTTCTCGGGTCAGGGCGGCCTGCCTTACGCCGCCGCGTGCCGGCTGGCGCGGCGGGCGTGTGCCTTGTTTGAGGACGCACCGCGGAGG